AACCTTCTCTTTTACCCGCTTACAACCACTTTAGGATCCTAGAATATCGCGCAACACAGACCGGAGCCAGTCCTTGAACACATTACCACAGTGCTGAAATCTGGGGTTTACTGCCATGACAACCGGGGTTTAATTCTGTGACGACATGAAATCCTCTGACCAATCAAAAGACGAATATGTTGTCCAAATCTGCGGCTTTCCCAAATCCACAGCCTCTACATTTACGGAGACCCGAGCGTTCTACCTCATTAGTTTTATAGTGTTGAATTTACCCAATACAAATTTCCTGCACTACTGAAGAGCTATTTTCACCTACTGATTTCAGCGTCCACCAATTTAATGACACGAATCAACAGCTCACCAAGTGAAATAGGGATCCTAAAATAGCGCCCCCATGTTTATTACGTGGTGGCTGATGTATTCACTCAATCGGGAAGCAATTGTATTTTTATTCGGTACGTCTTAATCACGACGCGACATGAGACACACAGGTCACGCTCTGCAAAACGTCTCGAAAGTTATTCCAGAAACTCGGATATTGTTTGCTCCTAACCTAACCCCCATGCGTGGTTAGGTGAAATACCATTATAATTAATAGGCAGATCTCATATCGCTAACGAAATCATAGACGAGCCAGACATGCTGATTCACAACCCCGACCAGTCTGAATCAAACCGTTTGTGTCTCATTCAGCATTTTTACTGAAGTGTTCGCATCTGATTTGGCCTATCAACGCTCGTTTAAAGGGTCGCTTAGTCTTCACTCAGCGAATATAGCGAGTCGGGGCAGATAAGCTGACATGGTGTACTTATGCCACTCCACAAATACATCACCGCTTGCGCCACTACTACCATGTTATGGATCAATGAGTCCAGAGTCATTGGTAGAACCCTTTGTTTCTTTGTAGGGATCTGTGCCTTTTAATACTTCTCTGGGCTGGTCATAATTTTAACAGCCAACAACAATTGTCAGGAAATGCGAAGAAAAATTTACACTGCTGATGAGTTGCCTTGATATCACGCTACCTGTCCCGTCAAGCACCCCAACACCTATTCCCCCATCCCTACATCTGTCACGCGCAATTTCCTCGCGCCGTTTATAGTGGCAAAACATCCAGTAGACTGCTAAGTCTTCAATACAGGATCAATGATAGGTATTTCACAATGAATGGCTTCTTATGCATCGGAAAGGAAGGATCTTTGTGGATAATCGCATATCTTGTATCTCATGTACATTTCACATCATTGCACCTCTCATTCTCAATATCTTATTATTATCATCATGATTTTGCTTCCTACTAGTCCTCATTGCAATTGCTATATATGGCGCTGTTAAACGAACATTGCACATAAAAATATAAAAAACAAGTAAATTGTAATAACTATATCGGCACTATTTATTTCTGAGACTTGAAAATAAACTTTGAGTTCAGAATACACCTCATAATACACGCGCCTCGCATAGATTCATTTCTTCGTTTCGGGAAATCAACAGTAATTTTCTAATACAACAATCAGCATGGGACCACGCTCATGTTGGGAATCGTACGAATATTAAAAAGCGCAATTAAGCTAACTTATGGTCAACCATAAACGTCATTAGTACGCATTGTTCTTTACGCGGTAGTCAACCAACTCGATATGAGACTGGTCGTGAGCATTAATAAGTTACATTGACATCTGCATCCTGTGAACAACGGACTGATTAAAGCCAACTCGAGCCAGGCAGATATACTGTATACAGGAGTACGCAATTGTCATGGAACTCTTTAAGTGACAAAGTAGCCATGAACTCTGGGGCTGTCTTTGAACACTTTGCAGCTAACGCAAAGGGAATGCATGTCGAACGCAAGCAACAACCACAAAACGCGTGCATGGAGCACGGCTGCAACGTCTTGCATCGACACGCGACGTGCATATCGATGACGGCAAAGCGCGCTGCTACATCACGAGCCGCAGATGTCACAGGAGCGATTCCGTCTGTCCTGGTACGAGAGCCGCTGACCGCGCGCGGGACCGCGTAAGCCCCGTTTTGAAACGCCGGCGGAGGGCGGGTGTCTGAGCGGCCCGGTACCGTCTTTCCGTCGGTTTCCAAGGGCTTCCATTAGCGTGCCGTATGTTCGGCTACCCAAGGGCGCTGTGACCTAGGCTGCAACAGAAACGAATTGATGAGCGATAAATTTGCGAACAGAAGTTCCTAGAAGTTCATTACAGTGAGTGGTTCAGAGAAGTTTAGACCAGTGTTAGTTCCCAGAAGCCGGGCGCCAGCAACGGAAAATATATAAGCCTACTATAAGCTGCTATGCATTAATGTAACCTCCGAGTGCAAGTCCAGCAATCCCACCAATCAGCAACGCCATCAGTTGCCAGCACCGTTCTGCTAAGCAGTGAGCCAGCGCTTCATGACTCACCGAGGGTGGCGTGCTGCATCTGGTGGCCAGCACCGTCCGCGGCTGGGGCCAGCTCGAGGCTGTGCCGCCCCTGCACGAGCGGCAGCGCGCTGGGCGACCCGTCACCACCGTACGGATCCCACAGGAAGATGTAGTAGAGCGACAGCATGACGGCCGCCGACGAGACGCAGATCATGTAGCCCACCACCGTGAGAATGCGTACGAAGCGCGTGCTGCGCTTGGGCGGCGGCTGCTCCTCCTCTTCCTGGTCCGAGCCGCCCGGCCCTCCACGCTTCATGGCTGCGAGCGGCTTGCGACAGTCGCTGGGTCGCTGGGCGAGCTGAGGACTGCTGGGTTGCTGGGACGACGCGAGGACCGCTGGCTGGCTGGGACGAGCCGAGGACAGCTGGCTCACTGGGACGAGTCGAGCGCTGCCTGGGGCGCGGACGACGACGGCGGCGCGGTGCCGACTGGCGGCCCGGGACGCCCGACGTTGGAGGGCTTCGTCGGTGCCGACGCGGACGGCACCGGACAGGCTTCCGGTTGACGCCACCGACGCGCGGCAGCCGGCGACAGATCGGCGAGGCGGGTAAACCAGCGGGCGCTGACAGGATGCGGGCGCCGGAGGCAAACTTGGCCACCCCGACGCGCCATGGGCTGGCGTCTGGTCCAGACACGTTGTGTTTAATAAACAGAGCGCTCGCGCGACGCTTTCAGCAGCTCGACGAAACGCCGGGTGTGGTTCAACAGGGGTCATTGAGGTGGCACCCCACCCACCCGACCGCCGACTTAGTGGTGGGATGGCCAACAAGCTCATAAATATAGAACGGCGAACCTGTTATGTGCAGGCTGTAGATGATGGACAGCATAGAACTGACGGAATGTAGCATTGGTATAAAACACCTATTGACAAATACACTGGAAGGTGGGGCGATTGTGTCTTTTTTGTTGTCACGTTGAGATTTTTTGGTGACTGTTTCACATGAGGGCTGACTGAAAATAGCAGGAGATATAATATTGCGGTCAAATCGAATTTAAATGGATGAATGGACGCATGGATTGGGGATTGCAATTTTTTGCTTTTGCATGACTACCAATCAATCACCATAATCGACGCATGGTCAGGCGTTAACTCGCCCAGACAAATAAGTCAACTCAGTGCAAAGACTTAATCATATGGTAGGTACTCTCAGACTACCGTATCTATAAAAGGTCACTGCTACTTGTGGTAGTTGGGATACAACAAGGTTATTTGCGTGATTTCCGGATGCAGGACGTTTCAAAAGCGCTTGTGTGATCTAAATTGTGTCTAGTGCTATCACAACTTATAAGCTGCATCATGTTTAGCCTGGCATCGCTTTCAAGACATCTATGGGTTTGCAGCAATCAAGTTACGTTGGTATCAGGTGGCCAACGTACGTCAGCTGCTCATTAACCATTCTGTTGTGTGCGAAATGCCGCCTGCCACTGTTGACCGAGTTGACTTGGCCGTTCGGTTGCAAGTCAACAATTTTCAACAATCATCAAGTCAACAAACACCGCCTTATTGGTTTGCAGATGAGTACTGGGATAGAGGGAAAACAATGCTTAGTTGTCCGCCGTAAAATTTCGACGTAACAACTGAGTTGCTCCAACAATTCTTTAGGCGTCTATCATCATGCATTCAGAAGATCGGTCAATGGAAGCCCAAACCCGAATCAGATCAAAATTGGTATAATGAATGTACTTGTCAACCCGATCCATACCCTATCCGGTGATTTGGATCAGATTGTAAAATTCGTCAGATTGATCCAGTCAGTCTGTTTCGTACTCTGACTATTTAGTATAACAACTATGCGTGGATACCTCGCCACTGGGCTTCGTTTACACCCTCAGTGCGCATGCCGCAATCGCTCCAAACCAGTTTGGCGCCGCGGCGGGATTAGTCCAACTATCCGGTGAATTGTGGGGCATGCTATTAGCTGTTAAAACTCAACCTAATCGGGTTAAATGCCTTGAATGATACAGATGAGTAACCGACAAATTTCAACAGCTCGCGTGTCACCATTCACGCCTGTTCACCTCAGCGGTGCGTCAACGTGACGTCATCAGGGGAGCCAGGGGAGGCTAAAGCCTTCGACAGCGTTGAATATGGCCAGTTCGTGGGGAAACTCGGGTGATATGGCGGTCACTCCCATCGCTTCTGACTGGACTGAGACTGGCTAGGTGCTGTGGCTATGGTTATGGCACGTGGCGACGAGACAGGCACCGCGTGCGCAATGGAAATGACGTTTTGCCGCCAAGTTATGGTCATGCCGAGTAATGTGTCACGATTCGTTCTTTGGACCAATTTTATTGGCATTAATCAACTAATTATTTTTCATCTCGCATCACTGACTGCCAGCTCGTAATGTATGGGGACGGTGCACTGTTTATCCATGCGTGTCGCGCGAGTATTTTAGTATGCCTTAAAGATCGCATCGAGGGGAATTTCGAAATAGCTGACTCCGGGTTCGCGCAAAAACGCTTAAATCCAAGAAAAACCTGTCATTCTAGTCCATTCATGTCAGCGACCCTCAGTTGGTATGTCTTCATGGAACTGGGATCTATTGTTCTTTTAGCCTCCCGTTTGATCATAATCATTGATATTGTCGTTGAAAAATACCTGAATTTGTAGTTACATACGTCAGCAGTAGTCAAGGACTGCCGTGCATGCATTTGTGACAGTTCGAAATTTTCACAGAAGCTGACGGATGTGTTAGAAAAAGGTTTAGCGAAGTTTATGTCTTTTCCCAGTTGCAATATTGCTTGACTGTGTGGAGAAGCTGCAGCAATGCTCAGCGGTACCGTAGTCAAAAAGAGGCCTGCCATTATGCGCCTATTATGAAATACACCCGCTGCTATGATCATATTTCTTCCAGCCAAGACGTTAAAAGCTCAAAAATTTAGCAAGTGACCTGAACGTGGCCTGGCGGCTATGTGTACAAAGACTGGCGCAGTGTTCTCCACGACCAATCACGGGCCCAGCGTGAAATTAAAGCAAAGCAAAAGATGTGGGATCCCGTGGTGGCATGAACCAACTGAGGCACGGGCGACTACCCGCGAGCTGCACTGAGACAGCGCAGACGAAACAAACTCACGCAGGGGGTGAACAGTCTTAAGTCAAAATACAAACGTTACAGGAGTATCGGCAACAAAAGCGGGCTTCGGCAACACACCGCATCTCCAACGAACCCTGAGTTAATTTGGATTATGACTCAGAGCCAAGTGCAGCTCAATATTAGATGCAACAAAAGAGACGGGTAGCGCAAATGTTTTGGGTAGAACATTTGCCTTACTATGTGAAATTGTTGTCATGCAGGAAAAATGAGCCATTTCGCCCCGCTTTGGTCGTCCGTCTGACTCGGAGAACGTGAGGCTCGGAGATGGTGGTTGAACCGCACTTTTTGGGTAGTTGCCACACATTTACGTCCCTCGTCAAGGGTATTTTGGTGTGTATTTTACAACCGTTGCCCATTATGTCGGTGAAAAAGGTTGCTATGACCCGGGCCCATTGATGTTTCAGCGCGGTGCGTCTATGGAGTGGGCAGCGTTATGCTTTCATTTCTACCGGCCGACTTCCGACTGGATCCCATTGCTGGAGCCATGCCTTTTCGTTGGTCATCAGAAGAGGACGTTAAATGGTCGGACCTGCGTTCATGTGGGCCAACGGCTTCGCGCCACTCCATGTTTTGTTTGTTCTCCAGTACATTAAAATGCATAAGACGGATGCATCTCGCTACGTCAGCAAAAAAAGTATTGAATATTTTTAATGGAATGTTCCACATTTGGGGATCTTGAGGGAGGCATGAGATATAATGGGAATAGCTTACTTGTAACTATTGGCAGGCCTTTAAGGTTCAAGAACGACGCTAAGTATCAACATTTCAGAGTTTTGTAAAAATTCGTTCCATTACGTCCTTGTTTCGATGGCGTCATGGAATGGCTTTGTGGCAAAAGCAATACCTGGCATTATCTGGCAGCCAGACCTAAAGAATGCCTCGAAACACACGAAAGCTGACGCCAACCGGCCATTCTCGCTGCGGGTGCTGAGTCGGGTGGCGGTTTGGTGGGTGGTTTGTTTGTGGATTTTTTGTCTTGGTGCTGGCCGTTAGAAAGGCTTTGTTGAACTGTTGAACATACGTAACCTAGCGATCGCCAGCTATTAGGGCAGATTATTAATATCAAAACACGATATCCTGTGCTGCTGCTACTGCTGCTACGCTGTTGATGATTTTGCCAATACTGTATTGTCGATCTATCCTTCCCCGCAGTGCTGTACTCCTGACATTGATATCGTGTGATGCGTACGGTAGTTACTTTATTTATCGTTTGTAACTGGAAATGCGGTGTCATGCGAAAATTAATAAATTTGTGACGTTGCTGTGGATTGATTGCAAAAGCTTTCCTATTGCCATGGTGAAGATGGTAAGGTTGGGCTACCAATATTTTGTGTGCTTAGGAGTATTTATGCAATTACTAGTTAACTCGTATATAACCACTGTGGTGCAATCACTTTCTTGCTGTTGATAGTCCTTCTGCATTGTCAAATAGGTTGTTACCAGCCATTCATGAATCATGAGTTGCTCATCATCATAAGTTGCTCAATCATAATCATCTCATAGGCTTGACATAGAGTAGTCAACCAATGTGGTACATTGTGTAATCGCGAGTCAACAGCGTAATTGTGGCACTACCTCAGTGCTGTACTGTGGCCTGGTATAATGATGAACGATATGGTCTCTGTACCGCGATTCCCTGTTGCTTTGATAATAAATTTACCATGAAAAGATGGGTCAAGCGTGCACTCAAGACAATTTTGCCAAGCCGTATCATGTGAGCCTATATATATATATATATATAATATATATATATATATATATATATATATATATATATATATATATATATTCTGTGCTCCGGTACACAAGGCGCCAGCCGAGCTTTCTGTAAGAAATACGCCAAAAGAAGAAGAAACAAAACACTGGCGTGAGAAAAAAAGACAGATTTGCCGTCGCGTCTTCTTTTATTGTAACATTAGGAAAGATGCCCGTTTTTGGGTGCCGTACTTTTCTGCAGACAGTGGTGTTCTTTTTTATAGCATTGACCTATGGCCTAAAAATAAAGAAAAATGCCCCGTTCACGACGAGTGCCGTGCAACCCGAAAGTGCCCACGCTTACGTTCCCCACACGCATTTAGTAGCGAAATCTTGCCAACAGCCAATCATCTTCCGCACATTTTATCACACGTGCCGCATCATCGCTTTTGCGAATGTATCAGCGGCCATGCAGTTTTGACCATAACCAGAAAGCAGCCTGTCGTGTGACCGCGATCGCATGACGTTTCTTTGGCATCATTAATGCCAAGGTGACTTTGAAGTAGACTCCCAATAAACCCTTTCGCCCTTTTGCGG